AGATTATTACAATTATTCTACTAGAAAATAATTTGTTATTGATTCATTAGTTTCTGAAATTTAATATATCCAGTTGTTTTTTATGACAAATTCCGACCTCTAATTTAAAAAAATTGTTTTAAATTTTATAAAAATTCAGTTTTAAAAAGAAAATCTTTTGTTGAACAAAAAAAAAAGTACACAATTTACAATTATTATATACAAAAAAAATAAACAATTTTATTAATAAATGTGCGGGGTCGAGAGAAGAGTTTCGAGCAGTACGGGGGATACAAAGACCCTTAAACGAACTGGCTTTTAAGATGATTTAGTAAATATTTGTTATATAATTGTATTTTGTGTGTCATGTTCTGCAATTGTGCAGTGTTATCTTTGCAATTTTAATAAATATGGCAACGAAACATCACGTTTTTATTTTGAGAAATAATTTAGTTTGTATCCACGAACAACACTGAATCAAGACCACCCGTATATCCGGCCCTAACTTTTACTTTATTGAACATTTTATATTACTTCATTATTGTTCAAAAAATTTTAATTTTATAAAAAAAATGTCTTTTTAAAAAATAAAAAAAAAAACTTCTGACCAACATATTATTACACTTTTGCAACACGTAATAATCTTTCTTCTAAAATTTGATTCACGTATTAGACTAAAGTAAATAAAAATAATTAAGTTTATAAATTTTAAAAAAATCTAATATCAATAAAATTTTTGACAAAAGTCAACAGCATAAAATTGGATATTATTTTATCAATAAAGATATTAATTGATTTATTTATCATTCTGTTTTTTTAAATAAAATCTTAATCGTTTTCTTAGTGATATTAAAAAAAAAAATGTTGCGTTGAAATAAATCTTGATGCCATATATGATAATAGTTATTTTTATTAAAAATTATAAGCATATAGATTAAATTTTAATTTCATACAATAGAAATCTAAAGTGGATAATAATTTTCGGAAATGCATATTTAAATATATGAAAGGAAGTATTAGTTTTATTATTTCAGCAATAGATGGCAGTAGGGGATATCTGAAAAATAGAGTTTGTCATGTTTTAAATTGAAAAACATCTAAAGTAAGGTTTTTCAAAATACTGTTCAGATTGCTAGACATGCCTTGAATCAAAATTTAATTTTTAATAACAATGAATGTTTTTATTTACTAGAGGAACAACTCCATCATTTTTCTGCACATGAACCCACATTATTAATTTTAAATGGTAATAATAATTATTAATAATGATAATTGTTAGCCGTGTTTTTGCGCTGAAAAGATCTTGGATCTAGTTTACTATCAAAACAGACAAGAGATATTGATTAGTTCACTTTCATTTATAGATTTTTTTTTCATTTAGAAGAAGACTTTTTTCACTAACCAAATAAGGGGCCTGATGGCCGAGTGGCTAGCATTCTGGCACTCGGTACCACCGGCTTTGGGTCCAAGTTCTGGCGGTGCCATGGATGTTTGTAGTGGTTCGCAATCCACTTTAAATCGTAGGTCTCTGTCTAATATGAACTTTGTGGGGGTAGTGTTCCTCGCGTCCTTAGCAAATCTTCAAGCTACAAGTGCCCCTGGGTAGTGCTAAATGAGTAACAGCGGTGCAGCCCTTGCTTATGGCGTAAAGATAACTCTATCTGTATTCCCAGATGCATTAGAAAAAAAAAGACTGGTCAAATAAACCAGTAGAAAATCTGCGCAAACTGCTCAAGAAACTGTTGTTGTTGTTCTAATGCAGCTGGCAATACAGAGACAGTTAATCTTTATGTCGTAAGCAAGAGTTGCATCATTTATTTATTATTCATATTACCCAGGGAGCACATGTAGCTTTGAAGATATGTTACGGATGCGAGTAACACTACCCCAAATTTTGAATGACAACGGCTTGCTATGTTCCCATGTGGTCAAACTCCCAGGTACTGACTGCGCCTGATAATGCTTGACTTCGGTGATCGAACGAGAACCGGCTTATTCAGCATGTTATGGCCGTTGGTAAAGCCCCCTCACGAAACTAATGCATCGCAAATTACTTCATAATTCAATTTTTTGTCAAAATTAAATACCTAACTGGATAATATTTGTGATAAATGTTCTGACATATTTTTTATTGAACCTCTGTGTCCCTTGCATTCCACTTATATGTACTACCAATAGCCCACAGACTGTCCAATGAGGGGAAGACTTTTAGGGGTAACTGCCCCACTTTTTCTTATCGTATCGGTGAACATCTTGATAACTCTCACCCGATTCACAAGTATGGCATACGAGCCTATTGGCATTACAAAAATGTGTTTTATTTTTGGTGCATGTTGGGTAAGGTTCTTGTATATGTAAAATATTAAACATGTATATTTTTTCAATTACGCCATGAAAGTACAGATTGGCTTGGTTTGTTTCTCTACGGTCATTTTTTGCACGCTTTAGGCTAATTAGACCGGGACCGATTTTTGAATATTTAGTTAAGGTTAAAAAATAAAAATTGAGAATATACAAAAAAAGTGGAAGGTTTATGATGTAGAAAATATTTAAAAAATAATGAATAATATATAATTTACTTACCTCATTGCTTAAACTTTCGATATTGATATTAAATAGAATGCAACAAATGTGTAAAAATTGCTTTAAAAACTTTCTTCTAAATAGTTACAAACATAATTAGAAAATTTCTTAACATTTACAATAGTTTATACATTGCTTTTTAAATGCAGTTCTAAGCGTCAACTGAGTGGCAAATGTGAAAAAAAAAAATTGATACTGATCTGTTTTGACTTTTAAGGTCTTTGTTTAGGAAGAGGGATATTTGTTTCGTGCGCGTGAAATGTAGTACGTAACTTCCTGTTGTTGATTCTCCAGTTATACTTTGGGATGTGACTCACGAAAAAAGAGTCATTTATTATATCTATTTAATTTATTTAACAATTTAATTATTAACTATTTATTATTATTTATTTGTCATTTTTCTATTTAATTTATAGAAAAACGAGTTATTTATTACATCTGTTATAATTATAAGCATAACTAAATACAGTTAGATTTATTCTTTTATTGATGGTTAAGCGATAGTTAAGATTAGTCAGATTTACAATGGTTGGGAAGATAATAACTGCAATTTATTAAAATTAATCCACATTTGCATAAATAACCTATTTTAACGAATATTTCCAATTTCTTTAATATTAATTTCGGTATTTTTTTAATGTAGAAAAAATGTAACAATAAAGAACATGGCCGTGAAAAAAACTGTTTAAGTATACAACAACATAAACGATGACTGTTTAAGTATATTACAAGCAATAAATAAATTCGCCCGATTCGTATCTCAGTGATAACGTGCGCCCTTGGTGAGCAATTGGGCTGAGGTTCAGACCACTGCCGGCCTTGTTATAGACATTGCTTCAAAAACGAGGAGACTCGATGGGGCTTGTGATGTTCACTATCTTGCCTCGTTAATCAGACTGCATAGTGGGTTTTTTCTCAAATATAATACGCAACTGCGGGGTAGTTCCCCCTAAAAGGCACTGCCTTCCTTCTTGATCGACTCGAAGCCAAATCAGAATTCTATTTACAGGGGCTCCATCACAACAGAAGCTGCCCCTTTCCCTCCGTGCATGAGAAGGCTACTCATGGTGTGTCCGTCCCACGCTGCCGGGAACTGAGGATTAGTCGCAATAGAAACGAACTCAGAATAAATTGTGATGGAGCACCCGTTGGTTGAAGTATGACTAGAATAAGGGGGGAAGTACTTTATGAGGGGGCTTTGGGGGAACCATCCCGCATTTGCGTATCGTATGAGTAATCTACTCGTGGATGGAGGGAAATGGGCAGCTTCTGCTGGGATGGAGCACCCGTAGGTTGAAGATTTGGCTTCGTGTCGCTGAAGTAGAATTGCAATGACTTTCAGGGGGACTTTTACGGGGAACTACCCCGCATTTACGTATCGTATGGGAGAAAACCATAAAAATTCCCTCCAGACAGTCCGACTAACAAGGCAAGATGCTGAACAACACAAACGTCATCGAGTCTCCTCGTGTTTTGAAAAAGTGTCTACAACACAGCCGCCAGCGGATTGAACCTCGGCCCTATAGTTCACCAGCTGCTCAGACTGCCACGAGTCGGGCTGAAAAAATAGTGAAGGGTACAAATGAAGTAATTACAAACTATTAATATTCAGTTGTAACAGACGAATTTGAAATGAAATGGTTAACTGATGATTAAAATAATGGAAAAATTCAATGAATGATTCCATATACATAAATACCTAGCTAATTTTCCTTCGTAGTCACCATTGACTTGAAATTTTTTTGAAAGAGCGAGACGAGGTGTTGTTTGACTTGGTGAATAAAATTTTGCCATTTGAAATTAACAACAGCTCAACACTTATAGTTTTAACATTCCCATATCCCAAAAACAAATTTTTTAAAGTCAATTCATTTCTTTTTTTTTCACTCTATTTAGAAAGTCCTATATAAATAATTTCCATTCATTTTTTTAAAGTTTATCTGGGGCCATCTATTGGTAGATATATGCAACTTAAATCTAAAAAAAACTAAAATTAATTAATTAAATTTAACGAATGGATTAATATTTGAAAAAACTGCATTAACATCAAGTGTCATCCACTACAAGTTCAAAAAATGTATTTGGACTTGAGTGGATGAATAAGAAGTATTTTATTAACGATTGAAAATTTGAAAAGTGTGAACTAATAGAAGGAATTGAATAATGATAAGCAAACCGTGCCTTCAGACGAAGGGAAAAAAAATAGAATTTATTGAGGACAAGGTTAGGATTGTGAGAGAAGTCCTCTTATAATTCCTAATGAAAATTAAACAACCGTCACGGCACATCCATTTATGGCACATATTTCTCCATGATGTTTTGCAGAACTATGCCTTTTGGTTTGGAGAAAGTGAATTAACTCCTTTTTTTTTTTTTGAAGGCAAAGAAATAGTGCTAAGCTGATGGAATACTTAATGTTGATAATTTTTTCAAATTAGTATCATCATTATTGAAAGATATGATATTTTTGTGATAAAATTGACTTGATAATTCTATACAAGATAAATATAATTTTTACGTTGGTTTTATAAGCATAATTGTGGGCTTAATAAGCATAATTATTAAATTAATTTGTGAATTAATTTTTGAAGCAGAGAGTAGAACACATTATGTATAATTTTTTACTTTAGAGTCCGTTTTAGTATTCATATATTTTAAATGTCTACAAAATAAATGAAGTAAAATAAATAAACAAATAAATAAAATAAATAAATAAAATAAAAATAATAGAGAGAAATACAGATTTGCCTTTTACCTTTTTATTTTTCTCTTAAAATTTTAAAATTATTTTTACTGTAACATTAAATATAATTTCTAATTAAAAAATTCTAATTTCTATCCAATTAATTAATTTCTAATTAATAATTTCTGATTTCTTTTCAATTAATTAATTTATAATTAATAGCTTCTAATTTCTATTCAATTAATTAATTTATAATTAATAACTTCTAATTTATATTTAATTAATTAATTTATAATTTATAATTAATAATTTCTATTTAATTAATTTATTTATAATTAATAATTTCTATTTTTTCTAATTAATTTACAATTTCTATTTTTTCTAATTAATTAATTTATAATTAATATATTTTCTTTCGATCTTTGTAAATTTTAATTTCTGGAATTATTTTAAATCCTGTAATTAACTTAATTACAGAATAATATTTATTATTTTTATTTTTAAAGTGCACAAATCAAATCGAATTCATGTAAGAAGGAAATCATATTCGTTATACAATGTACGAATAAATTGGCCTTTGAAAAAAAATAATAATATTTTATTATACTTCTTAATATATATAAGACTATGGAATACAATTATATAATTAATGGAATAAAAATTCTAAATTTTGAATGAATAATTACCTGCAGTGTTAGAAATAGATACAATGATGTTTAAACAACTTAAAATATTTCTTTGTTATTTAGAAGCAGATTATTTTAGGTGATCAATCTTGAATTAAGAGCATACGCAAAACCTTAAGTGAGGTATGAGTTTATTTAAGAAAAACGCATAAACATCATTAAAAATATATGTTGAAATACGAATATTTGATTTAGTGTTTCTTGAATAACATTATCTCCTTCAAATATAAATGCTAATTTTTGTTCATAGTAAAAAACCGTTGAAAACGCTAAAAATTCTTTATTTGACCACATCCTTAAAAAATAATTACTCTCATTTTTGTATTGTAATTTAACAAAAATTAATTTTCTGGTTTTACTTACTGAAGTGCTAAAAGTATATTCCTAATTATAGCATCCTTATTGGGCAATTTTAATGAAATGATAGAGAAAGTGAAACTCGCATATATTTTTTATTTCCTTTCGTAGTGCCGGAAATCACTGCTGTTTATATGTATACAAACGTGCGGAAAGATTTGGCGAAGTGAGAATGCCTTCCATTGCAAAAAGAATTAATTCCTTTAGTGTTCCCATGTGTAGTTTTGCTGATGGAATATTTAAGTCGGTTGTTTAAACTGTAACACGTTTTCATTTAGATAAACAATATACACTGAAGTGACAAAAGTCATGGGATAGCAATATGCAAATTTTCAGATGGCAGTAGCATCGCGTAGAACAGGTATAAATGCGCAGTGCTTTCGCAGAGCTTTCATTTCTGTTCAAGTTATTCATGTGAAGAGGTTTTGACGTGATGATGACCGCACGACGGGAATTAACAGACTTTGAACGCGGAATGTTAGTTGGAGCTAGACGCATGGGTCATGCCATTTCGGAAATCGTTAGGGAATTCAACATTCCCAGATCCACTGTGTCAAGAGTGTGCCGAGAGTATGAAATTTCAGGCATAACATCCCACCATGGACAGCGCAGTGGTCGACCGCCTGCACTTAACGACCGAGACCAGCGACGTCTGCAAAGAGTCGTAAATTCTAACAGACAAGCAACACTGCGTCAAATAACCGC